TCAATAGGATCTAGCAAATTCTATCCCTGATCATGCCATCACCAGCCTTATCAAAGCATTGTAGAATGTAGATTATTTGAATAGGAAAACTTGTGCTAGGGAAAGACAAAAAAACCCCCTCTTTTTAAAAGAAGAACAATCATAGATGATTCCAGGTTACCTCTACAGCCGATCTGGTTCGAGAATTTGACAATGGTAATGTCATCCTTTCAAAACGGATTCATGGAGCAGTTAGAAGAACATGAGCAATGGTCCCTATTGCTCCTATATTTCCTCTGAAATCATTTCAAACTCATGATTCAGACTATTCATTACTATTATAGATTCCTTCTCATCTTTTCTAGTACTCTCTCCTATTAATATGATTATATTACTTTGTTGTTCGTATGTACACTGAGAGCTTATGCACTGGAGACAAATTTCTTGTGTATCCAATCTCCCATTCCATTCCTATCCCTTCTATTCTAATCTACAGGGGAGTATCAACAGATTGTGATATCATACATGTACATCTAAAATGTAGATATCCAGAGATTATAAGCCTGAACTTCATGATCCCAATGTATTTTCTTTGTTTTCTTTTTCCTTGTTTCTTTTATTGTTCTTTTATTATTTTACTTTTTTTTAAAAAAAAAACTTCCTTTTTATTTCTTCCTTTAACCATTGGGAGCTACCTAGACAAAATGGCAAATAAATTTAATCCATATCTAACTATCCCAGGTTCTTGGAAAGGATTTTCATAAGTAGACAGAAATGCTAAATCTAGTCTGAATATCTGGCTGAATGAGAAGCCCTGGTAGTGCAGCAGTCAGAATGTAGTATTGCAGGTTAACTCTGCCCATAGCCTGGAATTTGATTCTGACAGGGCTTGAGATTAAATCATCCTTCCATCCTGCTCAGGTTAGTAAAATTGTTAGGAGAAATATCATGACATTGTAACCACCCAGAGTGTGCTGTAAAGCACTGTGGGAAGGTATATAAGTCTAAATGTTATTGCTATTGTTAGGGGATGTGTAATGAACATAATAACTCTATGTTTTCTTAAGAGAAACTATGACGTAGATTCATTTCCACAACATGGATTTAATCTTTAACTATTAATCATACACAAAATGTCCCTATATAAAGCTATTTTCAATGCTAATAAGTGGAGCACATCATTGAAAAAATTCTGCTATGATGATTTATTTTATATTATAATACATTATTTTGATCGCCTGGCAGACTGCACAAAGTTCTTGCTGCAATAGCTATCTGTTCATATATCTTGTGAAATAAAAATGTCATACGTAACACCACTGTACTACAGAAAAAGGCTCACAGATTATAAATAACACTTCTCCAGTAATATAACAAACAGAATGCTACATTTTTAGGGCCAGTTACTTAAATTTATATTTATGGAGGTAGTATATACCATTCATTAAATTTTCTGTGCAAGAGCATATGGACTATCATATATGACAGATTGTATATGTAATTTATAATTTCTATAATCATGAGGATATTTTTTAGTACTTCTAGAAACAAAGAAAGAAATCCATGTTTTACAGTTCATACCTTACATTTTGCAATATAAGCATACCTGAAGCATATCAGGACCCCATATAGATAAATGCATGTCTTCAAAACCTTCAGCCTTTTAATTTATTATAATATGTGCTTCTGTTTTATCAGGAAAGCTATCATTAATACAAACTGAGATCACACCTCTTACTTGAGCATTCTTCACTGAACTGGAATAATATGTTATAATTCTGACTCATAGGGCCTGAAACAATTCTATTGACTGAAACAATAAACTGATGTATCTTTTTTATTACTTCTTTTGTGGATAACACCAAAAGAAAACAAGACATAATCTTTATTTTGATCTTAAAGATACACTGAGAATAGACTAATATATTAATACAAAGACATTGACAAAGCTTAACTATATGAAGCTAGAGAATGCTTACTATTTTTGTCTAAGGTTTAAGTAGTTTGATATCATTACAAAAAAACCAAATAAACAAACAAAAGATATTTTAAAGATGTAGAAAGATTTAAATAAGGTCAGGCAATAAACATGAGCATGAATCACATACATATTTAAGAACAAAAGAGGAATCAAAAATGCTTGAGAATAGATCAGAAATACTTTTAAAGGACAACCTTTAAACCTGAGTTCTAAAGTAGTGTATTTCGGAAACAACATCCAGAAAGTCAGCACTTATAAACAGATTTGCTGAACTGGAAAATAAAAGAACAAATCCATTTCTTTTAACCTTTCTTCCTCCTGTTTAAAGGGCATCTATGTAGAAGCACACTCCTTCTAAAAGAGATACAATACAAAATGAATCAACAGAGTACTGAAGAATTACACAATCGGTCCACTTTAACACTGTAATGGGGTCTATTTGGTTTGGGTTTAACTTCTTGAACTGAATCAGGCATTGTGACTTGTGATCAGTTCTAAAAGTAAATTGACAGACGATTATTCAACAATTAACCCACCCATAAAATGGTACCTGCACTGAATTGGTGAGAAGAATTTAGCATACTGTACTTCATTTAAGCTGTTAGTCTTTCAATCTGTATGATGTACAAATGTGTAAATAAATTGTAGATATCAACAAGATAATCAGAAAGATAGTCTCCACCTTAGTAGGTCTACTAGTTCACTGTAATTAAGGGAAATTTTATATTCTATAGATTGCAATATTTTTTTACTTGCTCTAATTTTGAAATTTTATTCTTTGTAGATTTTATTCTATAGGACCCTATTGCGTTTATCAAAATAACAAAAGCAGGGTCACATATGCAGCTTCCATCTATTTTGCATATTTGTGCAATATTGCAATACATGTTCAAAAAGGTTTGGGATAGGCTTGGGTAAACTCTCCCCCCTGCACTTCCTGAAGATGTAGAATGTAAAGTCTCTGCATTATGGGTTCAAACATTTCTTGAGTATGTATCTTTTTGTTCAGGAGACATTACAGTGTTGTGAATTTGTAGTACTGTTATCAATATTTGTCCAGCTAGATAGCTGACTGCAGTCAGACCTAGTTATTACTTGGATGGCAGCCCAGGAAATACCAGTCCTAGAGGCATCCCAGAAAAGGGCAATAGTAAATCACCTCCATAAGTTTTGACATGTCCATGATGTCACCATGAGCTAATTTTTAAACTGAAGCAAGACTATACTATGTCTGTCAACATTATTGTATGCATGCTTTTATTAATATTTGTTCATGTTTTTGTTCTATTTTATGCTGCTTTGTTTTTTACATTCCATATTATAATTTTTCAACAATTAGGAATAATTTAAAATAAATAATTCTGATGGGAATCAAAGTGAATGCTGGCCCATGAATAACCCCATGAATCAATGTAAGATTGTCAAAAACGAGCTGAAGTTCTCAATATTCTTAGTGCACAGCTAAATGTCTACGGAGATTCGCAGTCATCCAGGTCATGGTTGTCCCAAAGGTTCCTTTTTTCAAGAGGCAACTGAGTGTTATGGTTTTGTTTTGTTTTTTAAGATATTTCACTTCTCCTCCAAGAAGTTTCTTGGAGGGGAAGCGAAATGTTTTTTTTTTAAAGTCCAATAGCCTCTTGAAAAAGGACTTGGGTCAATAGTCTTAGGTTGACAAACAAACCATACATTACCAAAATTTTACTTGTCTTGATGAAGTTTATGTTGTATATCACACAGTGATTTAGGAAAAAAAATCCATCTCTCAGCTAGATTCAATTTAAAAACAAAACAAAACAACAGAATATCACCTGCATGAGGGTGACAATCAAGCCCACATCTTCAGATTATTTTTCATACCTATTTCATATAAATTTTAAACAGCATACAATGCAATTTGATACCTTTAGAATCATGGCCTATTAGTGTCCATGTACCTTTAGTGTCCAGCTACTGATAATTATAACAGGCTGCTAATACCAAAATCTGTTGAAAGATTCAGGAAAAAAACAACACTTGTTTTGTGGGGAGATGGTTTGGTGTAGTAGTTAAGGTGATGGCCTGGAAACCGGGTGATAGTAAGTTCTGTTCTCTATTAGGCATAGAAGACAGTTAGATGACTGGCCCAGATTTTAAGATCTTGAGATTTTTCAAAGAAGAGAAAATAGTGTTTTTTTTTTCCCCAGAAAGAGATCTATAAGGATCTAAGGTTTATACAAAACAAAAACAGAAACATTAAGACTTGACTCTCAATTGCAAAATGCATTAACTCTTACCTAAAGAAAGGAAATGCATAACTAAGTACAATAGATAGTAATTTTATGAACTTATTTGGTTTCAATATAGTTTGAAATCCTGCAAGTAATAAATTAATTGAGATCAGGAATGATGTACATTGTTTAAGTTTTAATAATGATGGGAAGCTGAGCTCAATGTAGAGAGTTTATTGATTTTTTTCCTTTTTCCCTTTTTTTATTTNCCTGGCTGCCAAATAAACTTTTCCTGTATCCTGAGAAGTCTAAAGCCTGTCATTTTCTGCAACATATTCACCATTCTGGCACAGTTACTGGTCTACAGCCACTCCTTGCTAAGCAGTTTAACAACATACTGTGAAATGAAACTGAAGATTGGGGAACATTTGACAAACATCTGATAATGAAATATCTAATGAAAGGAGCAGCACCAGACAACTACGGGCCAACTTAAGAAACTAAGGGAGTCACCTAACTTTTAGAAGATAATATCCTTATTGCAATAAGGCATCATGTTTGGAATTTACCTCCCAAGACCTTGTTCCATCAAAATGTAATGATTTTCTCCAAAGCTATTGAATGCCAATTCTTGTCTTGAATTTAATGGAAATTCTTTCTAACCACTTTAGTTTATCTGACTTCTATGGATTTCATAGAAATTTTAATATATATGAATCTTTACACTAACAAACACTTCTTTAACCAATTTTCTAAAATAATTTGTATTTCTTTCAATCTGATGCAGAAATGAGATCTTACATTTAAATAAAGCAACAGAATTAGCCACAAACCTGGTGCAAAGAAATTTCCAGCCACCACAGATGAACCACTCTAAACCTCTTTTTCTTTGAGAAATCCTTGCTCTTGGTAATGTATGGTAATCACTTTCATCATTTTCAAAGCCTTCTTCTGACATCATTAGAGGCATCTCATCCAAGTGAGAGGGCTCATCTTCTATTGGGTATCTATTAATATTAAAGCAAATAAAATAATTAAGATGCAATACAAATCCAATACTGGCATGCTGAAAAGGTGTTCAAGGAAAGCAACCTTGTTTATACAGAGGATTGATATGCACTCCTGAAAATACCTAATATGTTAGATAAACTGAGCCGGAGCAGCAAGGTAAAAATAAACAGTAAAAAAAGAATAGTGATATGTATTAATATATATTTCCTAACTCGTGAAACTTGGAAAGAAGTGCTACTTGTTTTAAAAATCTACAATAAATGGCACTCAATTATGCCAAAATGATGATACATACAGGTTGACATAGCCATACAAATTCTGTAATAACATGCTGGCATCCTAATGTCTGTGTAACCATGTCATCCTCATATGCTTTGACACTTCCCCCCCTTCGACCTCCCTGTGGATGATCAAGTCTGCATTATCTATATTTGTGATTCTACACATGACACCATGTACAGTAACAAAGAAAAGAAATCCAACTATATATTTAAAAGTATAAAATATAATTTTATACAATCAATTACATTTTTCATTCTCATAAAGACAATAAAAGTTTCAATTTGAGACATGAAATTTAAGATAGGTAATGCAGGCTGGGGAATTGTCAGTAAGCAGCAGAAACAACTGAGACAACAATCTCTTTTCTCCTATCCAAGAGTGTCTCCCCACTTACAAAAAGGTCTTTGTGCTAGCATCAGAGTTGGAGTTTTGGTTAATAAAAAATTAAGGGTGTGTGAATGAATGAATGAATGAATGAATGAATGAATGAATGA